TATGTATGTTATGTATGTTATGTATGTTATGTATGTTATGTATGTTATGTATGTATGTTATGTATGTTATGTATGTTATGTATGTTATGTATGTTATGTATGTTATGTATGTTATGTATGTTATGTATGTTATGTATGTTATGTATGTTCTGTATGTTATGTATGTTATGTATGTTATGTATGTTATGTATGTTATGTATGTTATGTATGTTATGTATGTTATGTATGTTATGTATGTTATGTATGTTATGCATGTTATGCATGTTATGCATGTTATGCATGTTATGCATGTTATGCATGTTATGCATGTTATGCATGTTATGCATGTTATGCATGTTATGTATGTTAGGTATGTTACGTATGTTACGTATGTTACGTATGTTACGTATGTTATGTATGTTATGTATGTTATGCATGTTATGCATGTTATGCATGTTATGTATGTTATGTATGTTATGCATGTTATGGATGTTATGCATGTTATGGATGTTATGCATGTTATGTATGTTACCCAAAATTATGAAAAAACTTGGTAGCTATCTACGTACTATAAATTTGTGGTCAGTGGCGTACTCTGCATCACCAAGGGGGTTATATTTTTTAATGGCAACTAATAGTTTCCATTATCTATTTTTAAAGAGTACGATTATAGCAGCATAAAAAATATAAATTACATAATCAAATTTAAGAGAAAAACTCAAGTTAAGGAAAGTAGTTGTGCTATAACATAACTAGTGAAATTATAAAATTAATGAATGCAACTATTTTCCTTAATTTCCGTTTTTCTCATAAATTTGATTATTTAATAGAATATATTTTTTATGCTGTTATATCCAAAAAAGTGCACTCTTTAAGAAAACTACTAGTTGGCATTAAAAAAATACGCCCCCCTTCACTATGCAGAAGTATGCCACTAACCACAAATTTAAAGTACGTCGATTGATAACAATTTTTTTTATAATTTTAGATACCATAAAAAGATGCTTTAAAAAATGTCATGTATTGCAGATCCCATCCAGTGTTGTACGAGCAACATAACGTTTTCTACAGATAAGTAACGTTAGTGATAGATCACAGGGCCGGATATCTACATTTTTTCGGTTTTTGTTTTCTAACTTCTAAAGAAACAAAACCATTCTTGTGCAAGACATCTAGTGAGTCAAGGATTTAAGAAAAGACAAATAGTACATGAAGTTCAAGCCGCAAAACTTCCATTGATTTCATCAATAGTTTCCAGCCATACATTTAACTACAACAAACTTCTAGAAATATCTACCATGGGTATAGAATGTTACGTAATTGCATGATAGAAAATATCAGAAAAAATTGGATAGTGGCACTTGGTGAATGCCAACAGAAGTGACTACTTCTTCCTCTCTTACACTTCATCGCTCCCTTCTTTTATCAACGACGTATCATAGGAAAAAAAAGCGTGCGGTTGGGTTCGAACTCGAGACATCGACCATCGAGAAGTCCCACCGTTATAAGTGTGAAAATCTAATTTGTATAATTTATTAAATTCGCTTCAAACAAGTATTAGTCAATTTCAAAAACACATAGACGATTTTAAGGCGTTATTTTCTTTTAAATGTGCTCGCTTTCGGCCCGCCCGCCATAACTCCAGCGTGACGCATGGCGGCTTGACGGATGAGATGATTTTACTCCTGCGCAAAACATACAGTGCATACCGACCGATAGGAAGTAGTCACTTTAAAAAGGTCTATTTTTGTGACGATTAGAAAGAACTATCTAATACTAAGAATCTATCGTGGTTAAAAGTTACAAAAGAACGGCATCCGTTTATTATAATTTTTTTACTTACATTTTCTATAATCTAAAAAAATTGTTATGATTGTCCAAACTTTTCTTTGATTCCAGTAGAAATGCGGCATTTATTTAAACATTTGGTTTATTTTTGCAATTTCACTTGGGCTTTACATGAATTTGTATGCACGGAATTTTTCTTTAGTTTTAAGACGACTTTTTGCTTCCTCACACGGTATAAACTCGCTAACTGCCAGCAAGTTAAAGTTTCGTCTTAGTTTACCGGCTTCACTTTCAAACATCACTTTTTAAATGGCAGAACACGTCTATTGCTTTAAAAATATTTGATTATCTGCCAGCACGACATGTAGTTAAGCAATTCATTTCAGGTATAAGTGATGAGTAATAGAGCAATTTCCAATAATCCGTCTCACAAACTGTGTTACGTCACGTTCCAGCTAAATGCCATCAGCTTCAATGGCTCATCAACGTGACGAGATTAATAAAAAATTCCTATCAGCGAAAAATGGGATATCAAACTTATAAGGGTGAATTAAAATCACGCCCCGAGACATTCTCGTAAAGTTAATAATTCGAATGTGACATCCCTTACGTGAACGTTGCGGTTGGTGATTTTTAAAAGCTGTAACGAATAAAACTGTTGGTTAGGTAATTTAAATTAGTCATATCATGCAAGGGGTTCATTTGTGATTTTCTCTCATCTTATTTATTTCGGCCGATGCAAAATAGAAATTCGAGTAGAAATTAGTTTAGAAATATTTAATTCTTGCACGGGCATGGGCCAAATTGTGTAATGTGAAAAGCTACACTGGTTAATATGAAAGTGATAAGTCATTCCTGATCACTTGTAGTGCATATTGTTGAACCGATTTAATTTTCAACCGTTGGCGTGGTTTCTTTACACTTTTACATGGTTTTCAGATTTGGTTATAGCTTTATTTTCAAGTTATAATTTTACAAAAATAGTATATTAAGATACAAGTGTATAATCAAGTCTTTAAAGCACGCGCAACGAGTTTAAGGGCACGACGCAAAGCGGAGTGCCATTAACGTTGCAAGTGCTTTAAAGACCAATTATACACGTGTATCTTATAGTATTTTTTATTATATCTGCAGTATAATCTAAAAATAGGAAATACAATGAAGTCATATTGACGTTATACTCGAATACATGTCTAATTAAGTGGGCTGGGTGTTCGTAATTTCACGATTGCCATGGAAATGTCACTTGAAGTTTGCTTATAAAAATCATCGTCTTTGTGAATTAAACGATTTCCGTTGAAAAAGATAATACACCGTCCATTAAATCGATTGTTGTAAAATCTAAACAAACGTTAGTAGGTGTAAAATCCAACTCCAGTAAAGCCTATTATAAAGAATATGAAAAGTTGTTTCCATGGATGAATAGGAAGTTACTTACGAATACAGTCTTAAATGCATCCATAATGCTGGCATATATGAAGGAAATGTCAAAGGTATTTATCTTCTATATTTTGGTGCATTCATTCAAAACTTTAAAGCAATGCTGCGATTAAAAAGTGGAACAGATTTGGAAGCATACCCTAAATTACGCGCGTTTGTGAAAGTTTCAACCAAAGGATATGTACAAGCCAAAGAAATGTTCTGCATTTACAGAAAGCGACCTAAGAAAATTTGTTATTTCACTCAGATGACAGTTTCAAAAGTCATACTTGAAGTATCGTTACTTAGCAACTTTAAAGCACGTGTGTTTTAAAGGCTCTTTTTCGCACGCATTTGAGTGTATAAATAGTTATTTATGCAATGAGTGTATAAATGAGGCGTTTTATTGGTGAGTGAGTGACTCGCTGCGCTCGTGGACTAAATTCGAACGAACCAATAATCGCCGATTTATACATGAATTGCATACAACGTTTTTTCGTCGACTTCACTGGGGTAGGTAATTTTAAATTCAACTACAAGAAATTACAAACGAAATTATGAGCGACGATTTTTCACTACCTAAATTACAGCTATTGTCGTTTCTATAGTAATGTGTTGTTTTATGCTGTACCGTCAGTCCTCGTAATCGCAGTGGAAGATTATGTATTGCTTGCTCTGCTGCGGAGACGATTTTAACATTATATCCACTCAAATCAAAAGAAACCAAACCCCATGCTCCGTGGTTATCTGATAACACGAAATACTTAATGCGTCTAAGGGACAAAGCTTACTGTAAATTCAAGCAAACCAAATCTCCACAGCAGTGGGAATACTATAAAGCGCTTCGTAATCTCACCAACAAAACTGTAAAGTTGGAAAAAAAAGCGTTTGTTGAATTTAAACTTAGAGGAAATGACCCTAAAGTCTTATGGAGAGAGCTTAAAAAATTAAAAGTTGTTGCCAATAAGGAGAAATTAATTCCTCCGCATCTTCAACGGGCTGATGAGATAAATGATTACTTTGTTGATAATATTCCCATTGTTGCTGGCGATTAGTTTAATATTGACGACTATTGTGTTTCCTCATCTCAAATTGTGGTCAATTTTGAATTTTCCGTTATCGATGTACCTACGATTGCCAAGATTATCAATAGTATTAAAACGAAATGTGCTGGTTGGGATGGACTAAACGTTGACATTATTAAACTATTTTGTCCTAACATTTTGCCGTATGTGGCTCATATAATTAATTATTGCTTACTTACTAACACATTTCCAACCCTTTGGAAGAAGGCAATAGTAATTCCTATCATCAAAGGAGCTAAAGCAGATAAATTCAGCGACTTACGCCCAATCAGTCTACTGCCCGTACTGTCAAAAGTTTTCGAAAAGATAGTGGACGGCCAACTACGTTGTTACTTGACCCAGAATAACATTCTCCCTGACAATCAATCAGGGTTTCGGCCTGGTTATAGCTGCACCACTGCACTACTAAATGTTACGGATGATTTACTGAAAGCTAAGGATGAGAACAAGATGTCCATATTGCTACTCTTGGATTTCAGTAGAGCATTCGATACAATTAATCACCAAACTGCAATTTCCATCTTACGTGCTACAGGTCTTTCTCCTAATGCTACCTCATTACTTCATAGCTACCTAACGGGCAGGTCACAGTGCGTTACTTTAATGGGTAAGTCATCTGGGTACAGGGAACTATCTAGGGGTGTGCCGCAAGGGTATATTCTTGGCCCCTTATTGTTCACTATATATACTTTGTTTTATACATCAGTTCCTAAGACGTGTCTAGTTCACATGTATGCAGACGACATGCAGTTGTACCACTCCTTTAAAAGTGAACATTTACACGAAGCGCTAAATCTGATTCAAAGTGACCTTAAGGCTATTGAAAGGGCTTCATTGGAGCACTCGCTGGTTCTCAATCCTCTAAAATCGGCAGTCATGTTGTTTGGTAACAAGCAGAAAGTCACCGACTTGAAACATTTGGTAAAATTCAGAATTGGCGACAAAGCTGTTGCACTAAAGGAGGAAGCAAAAAATTTAGGAATAATGATAGACAATTCGTTTAGATACAACAAATTACTCAGTAGCTACATTCAGAGAGCATATGCAAATTTTTAATGCATCTTTCCCCATAGGCATTACTTGTCCCAAACTTTAAAAGCTCAACTCTGTAACGCGCTGGTACTAAGCCACTTTAATTACTGTTCGCAAGTCTACGGTCCGTGCATCACTCAGGATATGTCTGCAAGAATACAGCGAGTACAAAACTCCTGCATTAGACTAGTATTTGTTCTTAGGAAGTTTGATCGAGTATCTTCCAAACTAAAAGAATTACGCTGGTTCAGCATGAGGGATAGGCGACTGTTTACTGCGGGGTGTATGTATCATAAAATTATCTGGAACAAATCTCCTCCATATTTATACCGCAAAATATCTTTTAGAACCGATGTTCACAACTTAAATTTACGGTTTAGTGGTGGGATTACTCCACCCTCTCATCACACAGAAATGTACAAGAGATCTTTTAGTTATAATATTTTTAAAGTATATTCGTCTGTTCCAGATTTGATTAAGCCCCTTTCTCCGCAGTATTTCAAAATTAAATTGCGTCAAATATTAGCCCATGACTCTGTACGTACGTTGTAGATTGTCATTCATATCTATCTTGTTTAACTTGTCTCTCGTCTCTTTGTCCGCCTTTCTTAGTATATTACTCAATCTCTTTTCATCTCACTCTCATTTAGTTACTCCTATGTGCATTTATTACTATTTCATATTTTCCTTTTTATTATATTACTCAGTTATAAGCATTACTTGATTATGTTAATTCTAATTGTATTCAGGGAGTCGGTAGAAGATCAGAACCTGCCTGTGCAGCAACTGAACCGATAACCCCTGTGGTTTCCATTTTTTTAACCCCTGTGGTTTCCATTTCTTTAATTTGGTGGAAATAAACACATTATTATTA